GTTTTACTTCCACGAAAGGAAAGTTGGGTTTGCCCAGTTCTGTTCTTTTGTTTACAGCAAGAGACAAATGAACAGCAGATCCCCAGAGGGCTGTGACCAAAAGGCTGGACAGGCCTCGAAGCTGTGCCTCTGGGATACTTCGGGGACCCCTTAAGGTCCACTTTCCCGAGTAAGGAGGCTCTTGCTCCGCACTCTCTTCCAGCAAGTTCCTGACCCCATGCTGAAGCTGCCCTGCTGTCCTCCTAAAAGGCGGGCCCACCGCTCGGGATGGTCCACCGCCCACTGCGAGCCCACCGCCCGGAAAACCTTCCCGGGCCTCCCACCGGCCCCAGGCACCCCCAAGCCCGCTGCTGGGACCCCGCCCAAGGCCGGGACCCCGAGCACTGTTATAGCCGGGCCAAGAGAGCGCGCCGCTCCTCCCGCCGACATCCCGAAGCCAGGTCCGCTATTCCCGCCTGGACCGGCTCCACCCGCAAGGGCCCGCTCTGTTCCCATCGCCCCCAAGCCCTACTCTCCCAACGACAGAAACACGCCGACTCACTCCTGAACAGCAGCAGCAGGATGAAATAGTGCAGCCGGGCGCAGAGTCGGAGTCGCGGCCGCCGCCTCAGCGCCATGTCGAGGGGAGTGAGGGGCCGCGGGAGCGCGGCGCAGCTCGGTTTCTTCGCACGCATGCGCCCAACCTGCTAGGACCCTGCTACCCGCCCCTAGTTTCCATAGCGACCACCCGGCCCGGCAGAGCCGTCTCCATGGTTACCAAGCAAGCTGATGTCTGGTTGCTATGGATGCAAGGATGCGCTAGACCTAGAAGTTCGGGATTTCTTTCAATGAACTTAGTGGAAAGAAGGCTAAGAAACATGTTCAACAGTGGGGCGGGGTAAATTTCCAGAGCTATAAAATGATTCGTTACACAGATCAGAGAAGGAACACTCGAAATCAGGAGACTGAAATGCTCCTTTTTTTTTTAAATAAGGATGTAGTTTGGTTATTTTGTAAGAATTTTTGCCTGCACCTCTTTTGAGGCCCCAATTCCAAATGTGATGAAAAGGGGAAACACTGAAATCAATCTATTTAAAATACAAGCCACCATACATTAATACATAAAAGTAGTGTCTTCCTAAAATAAATATACATTTTTTTTCTGTGGTAGCTCAAAAGCAGGGTGTTATACCCAATAGTTTATTCTGTAGAAAAATAGGGTAAGCCTTTGTTCTGATGTTTGAATATTGGGAAATGATAAGGGAATAAAAATGACAAATAGGCAAAATGAAAGACAAAAATGTATGAATGAATCTAGGAATGCAGATTTTCAGTGTCATTTAATACTGTGAAAAATTCTTCAAATAATTAGTATTACATCTGACAGAAAATACATCCCTAACGTTCCAGAAAACAACAGAGTAAAAACAGAATTCTGAATACAGTTAATAGCAAAATATGCCAATGTTTCCAGCAACTAATTTTTTTAATGTTTAACTTAAGGACTTTGTTTTTTCTATAGTCATCCAAATTTTTTATGTTTTGTTTTTACAAAGTGAAAAAGAATGTAGGTGTATAACTTACAGTTACTGAAAGGTACGTAAGTAACTGAAATAGATTGATAGGGATACTCTTCAATTGCCATCACCACATAACATTTTTTTATTAGTTTTAATAGCTGCTCACATCTGTGTAAGTGTGAATCAATTGCATTTCCCAAAACCTTATAAAGACAGAATAAAAATTTAAAAATAAGTCAGTCACCTGGTATGATTCTATTCTTTCACTTTATAAATCTTCTGTCCAGTATATCATGTTCCAAAGTTGCAAGAAAAAGTATGTGAAAGCTAGTGTGTAATGGTAACCTCTCTCCACAAACACAAAATATAATTCAAAAGAGAAAAATTATTGAGCTCACTGGCTTTCTCTCTCTCTCACTCTCTCTCTTATTCCCTTTACCTTCTGGTCATATGGTCAAGCATATTTGCCTAGTTGAAGAAAACATTTTGATTACCTGGAAATATGTCTATAAACAGAGTACATTTGCAGAAACCAGCATCTCACTTTTCATACTGATTTTATGTTTGCATCATAAAAATGATTCTGTCTGTTAAACAATATTCTCTGCTAGGGAATCTTTTGAAACTCAGAATAAGAGAACACCACCCTGAATATTCTATATGACACAGCATTTCTTATGAGAGTGGATATGTAAAAGGAAGTGCAAGGAGCAACCTTTGAGCCAGTGGGTGGCACTCATAACCAACAAGGTGGGTAGCAGGTGGATCAGTGGTGGCTGTAGAGATGCCACTGTTTTTGCCACATGTGGTTTTAGTTGGACTTGGTGTCTGTTCAGGGGTCGCTATCTAAGGTAGGACAGGGAACTGTCCATGTGCCAGTTTATTAGTTCTCTCTCTCTCTCTCAAATACACACACACATTTACATCTCCCTTTTCCCACTCTCTGTGTAAATGAATACTGTTGTTGTTTCTCACAGTGTGTCTGCTCTTGGGTCACAAGCTGCATTTGTATGCATGCAAGTAAGGACCCACCAAGGGGTCAAAACAACTCCCTCAGGTTTGTTCCATTCCACATACTTGTTCTTCATTGTAAAACATTGGTTTTCCTGTGCAAATTGAGTTCACATTCATGAGTGGTGGCTGAGACAGCATTTTGGAATGAAAACCAACTATATAATACCAGGGAAGAGTAAGTCCATTTGTCTGTCAAATGATCTGCTCATCTTTGTTATTTCATTGTTCCCTGAAGACATCTGGCCCTGTACAAGAAGGAATCTGAGCTCTGGAGACAATTGATGAGGGTCTTATGAACTCTGTACTT